CATGAGTAACATTTTGGAACGTGTTAGTATGTGTCAGGCAGTGTCCTAAAAGTTCGTTATGAACCAACTCATCTAATCATTACAAGAACCCTATATGGACAACTCTGCCATCATTCCCGTTTTACAGATGGGGAAACTAAGGCTCAGGAAATATAAGCAACTTGCCTGATGTCACACAGCTTTTAGGCACAGAAGGCAGATTTATACCCAGACATTCTGACTCCAGAGCTCTGTCTTTATCCATTATGCTATAATGCAAACTAATGCTTTATTGTAGAGTTTGATAAGGTTTGGATAGCTAGTACTGACATCATCCCCCATGCACATACTTTACTGTGGCCTTTACGCTGCCCTTCTGTCTTCCATAGCTTCATATATTAAATGTAGGTTAAGTTTAAATGCCTTTAATGTGGTGTTACGTTTACTGTATACATATCTGTTGGCACATACCCACACAACCTTCACATAGCTGTGCTAATGAGGGCAGAGGGGGTTCAAAAGAAGAGATTTGAGTGTATTGTGCAATGTTAGCATCAATAGAGTTTTCCTCCTTGTTAGGGATTCCTTATGTTATTGGTAAAAAGAACTTGATTCCCTAAGGCCATATCAGCTGATTAGCGAGGAAGCTGCATGAGGACCACACTGGGCAGCAGACAGAAACCAGCGTAGGGTACCACGGAGGTAGCTGGGATGTAGCAGTTTGAATCCCAATTCTGTCATTTAATTCCTGGGTGATCTCCAAATAGTCACAAACCTCTCTGAGCTTATTTACCCATCCGTACAATGGAAAAATAGACACCTGCCACCGTAACAGTACTATGGGAACTAGAAGGGACAATATGTATAAACGAGTCTAGAGTCACTCCTGGCATCTAGTGATGCTGTAAGCATGTTAGCCTGAATTTCATGGATGCTAATATGATATTTCTCTATTTCACTACCTGTTGGCCAGTCTAGTTTCCTCCTAAATTAAATGCAAAGACTGTTTGCATTGTGAAAATTCTATCCTGGTAGATGTCATTTATTACCGTAAATAAGTATGAACTAGGGATATTGTTAAAAGTGCAGATTCTTCAAGCTCTACTCACAGAGATTCCAATTCAGAAAGTCTATGGTGGGGTCCAGGGATTTGCACTTTTAGCAGGCCTGCTCAGAAAAACACACTTTGAATGTTGAGATAGATAGATAGATAGATAGATAGATAGATAGATAGATAGATAGATAGATTTAAAGTCCTCCCATACATTATTATTTATTATCTTTATATTATTTTTAAAGGCCTTCATACAATATCACTTAGTGCAGACTAGGTTAAATTAACTGATGCTGCTGAAGACTCCTAAGGCTCATGTTAAGACTATAGTTTTAATATCTTGATGATAATTGAGAAGGAAGGTCATGGGGCCCATAAAAATACAAATCTATACTAACAAAGGATTTCTGAACCTTAATCTTGAATTAGGATGTGATGAAATGAGGACAGTATAGTTGGGAGTACCTCAATGTGTAGGAGAGTATGAAAAATAAGCTACCCAATAATTATCACACCAGTTTTTCCTTGCGTGTGCTTTGGAAAAAGGGATATAGGAGAAAAGTTAACTCTGAAAAAAGCTTAAACAGAAGGAAAGTTTTTACTCATAAAAAATATTAATGAAATTATAAAAGGAAGGCCAAGGAACCAGTCTCTTGAAAGAAATTCTCAGTCCTTAACTATGTTTGCGAGTCTTTAAAAATGTTTAAGTATGATCCTTCACTTGCAAGAAGTATTGGCAGAATTTTGTTGGCATTTCCTTTAGTGTTTTTTCTGGACTGCTTTAGCATTCTTCAATTTTCCTTGGACTGTGAAAGGATATATCCATGTGGAAGTCACCAGTATTCATTAAGAAAAGATTTTACTTTGGTCAAAGGAAATTATATTCAATAAATGAGGGAGAAAGTGTCAAGTTCTGTTAGCAGAATCTGCTCACATGGAGCCATGTGCATGAGCAATACTTCCAGAAGAATTTGGCCATGGTTGGAAATTATCTCAAGACTTTAAAATAATTTGAAGTTTAAATGGAGTCAATACAAGTGAGCTGTTAATTTTTTAGCTCTGGAGAATCAGCCTTCAACCCATCTGTAGTTATTTCAATATTTCTATAGACATGATGTTCTGGGAGAATGTCCCCACTAAAACGTTATCACTAAATTGCCCCTTAAATTACAGAGTAGATGTGGATTCTTCATTTGATGCTGAGAAATTCTTCACTAAAATGCTTCCATCACATCCCCACTCCAGTCCCTTGAGTCACATCATTCGCTCTCCCCTAGAAGTAAACATTCTTATCCAATTCTGCCATCTGAAACCTGGCCTGATAGCCTAGCCCATGGTGACCACTCTGGTGTCCTGCAGCCCTTGATGCCTATGCCTCTCATTTAGAACCTGGCCATTTTTACCCTACACTTTATCTTTATTTGTCTCCATAACAAAATTATAAGCTCCTCTGGGGGCAGAAACTGTATCTTCACTTCCTTCTGAATCCCCCACAATGTCTAGATCACACCTTTGCACATAGTAGGCATTCAATAAAGATTGACTAGTATTGAACTTACTGAATATCATGAGTATCCTCCCAAATGCCACTCTATTTCTGAAAGCCACCAGCCCCTTTCGCTAGTACTGAGCGCCACCATGACTCCCTCCATCACCATCTGAGCTCTGTATAGTGGCTTGGCATTATGGAAATCCTGACTTTTGTATGACAGAAATCCAAACTTGGGTCCAAACCCAATTTTATCCATACATATCTCTATGTAGTAGGGGAAAGAGAGAAAAATATCCTGCAGCCACTGCTGGACTTTATTTTCTTCAGGTCGGCTCCTAACAGGTATAGGCTTGTAGTTCATCTGTAATGAGACATCTGTATTTTCAATACATGCTAATTATGACCAAAAAAAGGCATGCTTCCATATTACTAAAACTTCAAAGTAAAAATAAGGAGGACATATCTAATGTGGAATATTATTTCACCCACTCATCATTAGCGAAGCGCATGGTGGGGATGCAATGTGAGAATCAGTAGGACCAAAGAAATAGGGAGGCAAACCTCTACTCCTTCCTCAGGGCTTCATGGTGCCTACATTCTCTCACCAGGAAAATCACTAGGGAACCTCATATTACCACCATTCACTACAGCATGACATTATGTATAGAAAAATAACGTGTGTGTGTGCATTTTGGCCCTCATTCAAAATGGTTGGTTACTTAACACTTAAACAGGCTTATTATAAAATTGTTTTGCCTACAAAGGCTCCCCTTCACCAAGAAAGCACAGGAAGGAATGGTTGAGAAAAGTGGCTATGGTATAAAATCAAAAGTTGCTTTCTGTTCAGTCTCTCAGACTTTCGAAGGAATAAACTTGCTTGAGTCCATATGACAAGAAGAATGAAAAGGGCAGTAAAGCAGTGCTGTCCTGCATCAAGCAGTGGAGGCTTGAAACAGACAAATAAGTTCCCTGGTAGCATCAATCAAGTTGGGTATTTGTGTTCTTTTTGACTAAACACTGAGACAGTCATTGGAATAATGAGAAACAAGGCTGAAAAACAATAGAGAATTGCTGCCCTTTTTTCCTCCTCTACTGCCAGTTCCAAATGATAGCTATAATTCAGTAAAGATCATAGAGGCTGGCATTTATGTTGAACATCACTTCCTACCAGCCTTTTATTTACTAAATTCCTCCTAAATGAATATCTAGCTGAGGGGAGTAAATTGTATGTGGACAGCCCTATCAATAGCAAGCTAAAATATATTGGCATGATATCAAATAAATAGAGTGGATAAATATATTAGCCTGGCACAGGATTGCACATGGTGAGCTGTTTTATAGGTCTGTGGTGAAGGAATAGCAGACGTATTACAAATAAATGTACTATGCTTAATATTATTGTCTCCTGTGAGAAGGTTGAATCCTGCTAAACCAAATAAGAATTTAAGGGAAAGATTTGAGCCATACTCCTAAGTTTTTAAATCAGAAGGTAGCTCTTATTCTAAGGATGCAGGATTTCATATCTGAAGGAAGAAGTTGAATTAAGACTGGCTGAGATAATGAAAGCAGAATCCAAAAGAATGAGTGGTAGATTCTCTATGGAGAGAGACATGGAAATGTTTGCTGATGAATAAATTTAAATTTATTATTGAACACTGCAACAGCAGAGCATTTGTTAAAATTAGCTTACAACTTTAAATTGGGGGAGAAACTTTGTGCTCTGTATGGGAAAAAGTGCTAATTTGTGAATTATTAACATTTTAACTCTCTCTCACATGATATGTCTTCAAAATCCACACCAGTAATATGACTCTTGTTTTGTTATTAATGTTTCCAGAAAGGAAGGCCAGACAGAAGGAAAACATTTCTTCCTCAATTAAGAAGGCTTTTAAGCCTTTTTGCCTGAATTTCACTAATGCCTTCATTTCGCCAAATCAATCATGTTGGTCTACCATTGTATTAAAATGTACTTTAATAACAAATGTTTGAAATCAGAAGTGACATTTTTTCTAAGATGCATTACTAATAAAGTAACACGCATTTTCATCCTGCGTGAAACAGCTGGACCATGACGAGATCACATTAGCACTAATTAAAATGATATTTTTTGTGCAGTTTTTGCTAACCCAGCTTCATTGGACTCAAAAGGATTTTTGAAATCCATAATAAAGGCTATTATGTAATCTTACCATGATTCTCTTGAATCGGGCCACTGTCTAATTTCTCCGTAACGATATTTTCTTAAAACTCTCACTCAATAAAATCAATATTAAGTTTTTACTCTTATAGCTCTTTTTTCAATATATGATCCTCATTTAATTAAAAAAAATTAAAGCTTTAATTTATTTTGCTTGATGAACAAGAAAAATATAATATTAAAGGCAACATTTTGCAATGTTTCTCTTTTTCCTCACTTTACTGGGTCCCTGTTGTTCCTAACGTATAATTTGCAAAACATATTGCTTCAATACTTACAATGAGAGAGGCGGCCCAGCTGTGGGAGGGAGAGGACAGCAGCCTCCAATATTACCATAATAATCTGCCTAGAGTCCCATGGGCTCTCTGGTATATACAATTCTCTGTACTGCAGGCCCCAGCTGGAGAACATTCTCTTGACATGTATGCCAACCTTTGCCTGCAGGCAAAATAAAAAAAGGCAGAGAAGTAATCATGAAAATAAAAAATCTTGTCAACTGCATTAGGATGCAGTTCCCATGTTTTTGCTCACGTAGGCAGGCATTGTGCTAACAATATGATATGAGACTTTAAAAGACTGCAGCTGGTATGTATTTAGATCTAAAAAAAAAAAAATTGTGCTATGTTAATTCTGCAATCCTAAAATTTGGGGAGGGAGGGGGCCTGTGGGCAGTGACAGTTTAGTTATTACTGTCAATATATATGACAACTTTATTTACCAACTATTACTCAGAAGATTGCTTATTAAAGGAATTGAATAAGAAGCAGCAGTATTACAGTGTTGAGGTTAATCACGGACGAAACTTTGAAATGAATGTTATTTATCCTCCTTGGCAAGTGAATGTAAGGGGAACTTGAGCAGTTGCTGATTAGCATCCTTTTTAAATAATCCCACAAAAACTAGTGCTATTATATCTGCCCCTAAAAATTCAATCTCAAGGAAAAGAAATTATATTCACCTCTAAAATAATAAGATGAAACAATCAAAAGCACTTCTTGAGCAAAACACGTAGGTTTTGAAACAAATTTCAGATTGGGTTGTTTTACTCACAAGGCCAATAAAACTCAATGGGCTTCAAATATGCCACCATTAATGTCAAAAAATCTGATGTCCTTGCTACAGCAGGAAAAGTTCCCAAACTTCATTTGTTGAAACAAGAGACTCCTCTGAAAACAAGTTAATCCAGAATGTATCTGCAGTCATACACATTCGAAGCACTTTAATCTAGGTGGCATCCCACTGGATAAGTATTCTAAAAAGGTAATAAAATGCCTTTTTTCATATAGAATATTAATTTTCTTAGTCAAATTAATTTTCCAAATACTAGACAGACTGGAAGAGGGCAGCACAGTGTTATATTAGCTCTTAGACATGTTTGTTTGCCAGGAGATGTTCAATTTTACTGTCTTTACCAATATAGTTATGATAAGTCTCTCTACTTTGCAGATTAAGAGATTTAGATGATTTCGAGTTTACAGTGTAAAGTGGGTCATTGGTATTTGTTGATCACTTATAAGGACAGGATATATGAATAGGCTTTATAATTACATGTTTATGTGACTATTTAATTAATGCCAATCTCTCCCACCAAATGTAAACTACATGAGGGCAGGATTGTGGAAATTTTATTCACCACTTCATCCCAAATGCATGGTACACGCTAGGTATTTGTTGAAAAAATGAGTGCATCCATTTAATTATTCATTCATTCGTTCAGCAAATATTTACTGAGGCACTGGGGATACAGCAATGAATAAAGCCCATGAAAATCTTTGTCTTCACGGCACAAGAGAAGACAGATAGTAGATGAGAAAATAAGTAGAATATAAATTGTGTTACATGATGATAAATACTAAAAAGAAAAGTTTAGCAGGGAAAGGGGCCAGAGAGAGTGTTTGGGTGAGAGGCCGCTATTTTAGAAAGGGTGACCAGGGGAGGCCCCCCAGAGTATGAAAGCATGAGATAAACTAGTTCTCTCCCATGGGAAAACTGGAAAAGTCCCCAGTAAGGATCCAATGAAAAGGCAAAGAAAAGACTCAAAATGCTGACCCTTTCATCAGTTATGTAAATAAACCTATCCCCCACAAAAATTATAAGCCCCTCTAAAACAGAGACAGCAACTCTTTTTGGATATTATTTCTAGCACTTGGCACAGTGTCTTATACATAGTAGATGCTCTACCAATCATGCTGAATTGACTCAGATTCCTATTAGAATAAAAGGACAACAGTAGGAAGATCCTTTCTGTTCCAGAGAGAGGCAAAATGGCCAAGGATGAAGGAGAACTACCTAGCGTATTGTAGGTGGCCAGAGAGCAGAATGAACTGAGCATACACCATCATGTGGCCTTTAGCTTGATGCTGCCTGAAGCTCTCAGACCCCTACACTCATCTTCCCAGCCCAGAGATGACCACCTTTGGTCCCAAGAGAAAACAAGGCAAGTTTACAGAGAGCTGTGCATATATGCCATTACAACTAGGGAAATTAATCAAAGCCCTTGCCTTACTAATGGGCTCACATTGGGATCATTTCCCTCTAAGAAAGACAGCACACATACGTCACTCTTATGAAAGTTAAGGGGAAGTTCATGCCCCTTTGTATCCGTATCTTCAATTTGTGGATCTGGATACACGTGAGTAGCAAATCACATGAGACCCGTAGGTGGAAGCTGCCTGAAGAGGTCAAATGCCGCAGTGTCATTCAGCATGAGTTAATAGAGCATTGCACTCTCCACAGAATTAGAAAAATGGAAACTGGAGACAGGATGGGAAGCTCTAGGGAAAATGATCAAGTGACAGTAAGAGACAGATGCAAAAGGCACTAGCATGTAGAAGGACGACACAAGCACTACCTAAAGTTGTGGAAGAATGTACAGATGCAAAGCAAGAAAAAATTACAACTAACACAGTACAATGGAAGAAAGTTGTAAGATCATGCACTTCCTTCACCTCTAGCTGAATGCACAGGTTTTTCCTCATTTCCTGCCCACTGCATATATCCGCATTGTCTCCTCTTCTGCTGTCCAGCACTGAAGGTCAAGGCTTTCCTATCACGGCCTCCATGTGAAGACTGAAGGTGTTCACTGTTGAATCCCTGGATCCTGGAAAGTGGCTGGAAAATGTAGGCACACAAAAAATATTTGTTGATGGGAACAAAGTCTTCAATTATGATGGACATTGACCTGGGTCTTTATTAAGTCACAATGCTCACATACATGAGATGGTGGAAATAAAAGAGGCAACAATAATCATTAAACATAAAAGCATATTTTAAAAGTAGATGTTGGTTAGCAGTGAGGAGAAACCATTAAGCTAATTCAGTAATATGTGCTTTGTTATTAGCAGGAAAGTAGAGATCAGCTGGTTACATCATTGCAGCAGAGAATAAGAAAAAACATAGTAAGGACACACAGGCATAGTGAACAATTAGAGAATTAATTTAAATGTCAGTTAGAAGTTTGCTTGTTTGTTGTTCTGGGGGGACTAAAATATTCACACATGCTACCAAGGCTCCATTCTTAGTGAATTACCACATAATAGGAAACCCAAGGTCCAAATCAATGTTATTACCACTCTTGATTTTCCCCTACTCTTTTGAGCATCTCAACCGCACCCATGACTGTAAGTAGCTCCTCTCTATTGAGGTCCCCCCATCTCTCTTCAGCTCATATGATTCTTCTGAGCTCCACTTAGATTACTGGATGTCTCCACTAATGCTCCATAGACCTTCAGATTCAACATACTCAAAATTTGCCCCCAAATCTTCTTCTTCTTGTGTTAGTAAATGGCACCACTGGTTACCCAAGCCAGAAACCTGGAAATGATCCTTGACACCACTGTCTCTCAAATTCTTGCCCAACGATATCATCAGCTCCCAAGTCCTAGAGAATCTTCCTCCTAAGTAACTCTTACATCTATCACTTTACCTGCAACTCATTATTAGTATCTGGCCTCAAAAACTCCTATCTCAGCTGGATTACCACATATAGTAGTCCCCCCTGCCACTTATCCACAGGGGATATGTTCTAAGACTCCTAGTGGATGCCTAAAACTTTGGATAGTACCAAACCCTATATGTACTATGTTTTTTTCTATACATACATACCTATGACAAAGTTTAATTTATAAATTAGGCACAGTAAGAGATTAACAACAACTAATAATAAAATAGGACAATTATAACATATACTATAATAAAAGTTACTATAGATCTTAGCAACCTCAGCATGTGATTTTTTTTTTTCTCTCCTTATTAAGTTGAGAACTTTCACCTTTTCACTTACAGGGAGCACTTTATGGCTTCTCTTAAGATATCCAAATTGCCAGCACCACTACTCTTGTGCTTTGGGCCATTATTAAGTAAAACACGGGTTACTTGAACACAAGCACTGTGATACCGGGACAGTTGATCTGATAACCCAGAAGACTACTAAGGGACTGATGGGCTGGTAGCATATACAGGGCAGACATGCTGGACAAAGGGATGATTCACATCCCAGGCAGGGTGGAGTGGGATACAGGAGATTTCATCATGCTGCTCAGAACAGTGCGCAATTTAAAACATGAATTAGGGCCAGCCTGGTGGCGTAGTGGTTAAGTTCATATGCTCCACTTTGGTGGCCTGTGGTTCACAGGTTCAGATCCCGGGGAAGGACCTAGCACCACTTGTCAAGCCATGCTGTCATGCTGTGACAGCATCCCACATGAAATAGAGGAAGATTGGCACAGATGTTAGCTCAGCCAACAATCTTCCTCAAGCAAAAAGAGGACAATTGGCAACAGATGTTAGTTCAGGGCCAATCTTCCTCACACACACACACACACACACACACACACACACAAAACCTTGAATTATTCATTTCTGGAATTTTCCATTTAATATTTTTGGACTGCAGTTGACTGCAGGTAAGTGTAACCAAGGAAACAAAACCTCGGATAAGGGGGCACTACTATATATCCTGACTGATCTTCTCGAAGGAAGAGCTTCCTCCACTCCAACCAACACATACTCCTCAACCTTACCTGAGTGACCTTTCTAAAATGCAAATATCTCCCCACTCACCTGCTTAAAATGCTTTGGTGCCCACTAGTTTGGGTTAAAGTCCTCCTTGCCTTTGGGTTAAAGTCCACACTCTTGGCATGCAAGGCCAAGATGGTGGCTCCTTTCTATCTCATCTTCCCCGACCCCCATACTCCATGAATGCTTCAGCCACACAAAATGACCTTCCCTCTTATCACTTGCTTCCTTTGCTGATGTTCCACTATTGACCTAAAATATCCTGTCAAGTCTTCTCCACCTTAACTAAATCTCCCTCATCCTTTAAGAACTCAGCTTAATCATAACCTCTTTCTTTTCTAATCTCCTCCCTCCTTTGGCTAAGTTACACACTCTTCCTGTGTTCACACAGCACCCTGTGCATGCATCTGGCATAGCACTTGCCGTACTGAATTAGGATTCCCAATCTCTTGTCTATATCCCCCACTCGACAGTGAGTTCCATGAGCACAGAGAGAATTTTTCATGTCTACTCCCTAAGTCTAGTGTAATGTTTGCTGCATTGTAGATGTTCATCAATGTTTGTTTAGCACATGAATAGGAGAATGGGTTTTCAGAAATAGGACTGGATTAGTGGAAGGAAAAATACCTACTTCTACATTAAAAATAATTTGTTAGAAAAGGTAAGAACACTAATATTTCCTGGGTAACTACTTATACCCAGCTCTGGATCTATTGGTTAGGAACTAAGGTGAGAGAAAAAAGAAGATTGAGAGAGAGAGACAGAGGGAGAGAGAGAGAGAAAAAGATCTATTTGTACCTCATCATTTGTTTACATGTTCCAGAAGTCTCCTGCGCAAAACAAGATGGTTAGGAACAGATCTAGCAGACAAGGGCCTCATGTGGCTAGTGCTTCTTAGAACTCTAAAACAGCATATTTTAAAGTGGAGTAGAAATATGTGATTAAAAAGGAAATTGAAATGGATACCAAAACAAATTCTCTAAAGGCCAATATACATTTGTTAAAACTATTTCGTTTTATGTGATAATACCTTAAAGGTGCTATTTAAAAAGAATAACTCAGTTTTAACCTATGATAAAATAAGCAGCCATAGCAATTTTTTAAAAGAAAAGAAAAGCCAAACTACAATGTCACTTGTTTTCTTAAAGGAACATATTACCTATGTGTTTAAAACAAGACTGGTTCTAAAGAGCTTGCAAAGTCTAAAATGCAGAACTAAAATTGTTTGTCTGAATCAAAATTTTTTAAATAGAGCAATTCAGCCCCACCCCCAGAATCTCTTGCAGCACCCCCTGCCCTTTTGGAAGTGTACCTGATAGGCCCTTATGCTTATATGCTGCTAATTACCTTTCACGAAGATACTGCATTAAGGCCTGGCTTCTCTAATAGCACCTTCTAATTCAGATCTCTGTCACACCATCAAAACCTACCAGTCCTGGGGCTGGCCTGGTGGCATAGTGGTTAAGTTCACACGCTCTGCTTCAGCGGCCAGGGGTTTGCAGGTTTGGATCCCAGGCACAGACCTACACACTGCTCGTCAAGCCATGCTGTGGTGGCGTCCCACATACAAAACAGAGGAAGATTGGCACAGACGTTAGCTCGGCAACAATCTTCCTCAAGCAAAAAGAGAGGAAGATTGGCAACAGATGTTAGCTCAGGGCCAATCTTCCTCACCAAAACAAAAACAAAAACAAAAACAAAAAAACCCCTAACAGTCTTGTGTTCCATTGCCTCAGGCTAATTCAGTGCTGCATCCTGAAAGAAGTTCCAACTAATGGTTCCTAACAAAAATTCACTGAACTTCAAATCACAATATACAAGTAGCAGCTACTCTACCCTGTTAGTTTCTTGGGTAAGCTACCTTTGCTCTTTCCTCTTTTTACTATAGCCATTCTCTTCTAACCAAACTCATTCTCAGTTCAGCCATGCAGTTGCATTGTATTAGCACACTGGTCCTTTGTCCCCTGCTTTCCTAGGTACTCTATCTAACATGGGCTAGCGATGTACTCACAGGAGTAAGAGTTCATATTTCTGTTTGATCAGACCTAAGTGAACCCAGCAATGTAGCAGAATCAGACAATCTTTTTTTTTAAAGATTGGCACCTGGGCTGACAACTGTTGCCAATCTTTCTTTTTTTTTTTCTGCTTTATCTCCCCCAACCCCCCCTGTACACAGTTGTATATCTTAGTTGCAGGTCCTTCTAGTTCTGGGATGTGGGACGCCGCCTCAACGTGGCCTGATGAGCAGTGCCATGTCCGCGCCCAGGATCTGAACCCTGGGCGGCCGCAGAGGAGCGCGTGAACTTAACCATTCCGCCACGGAGCTGGCCCAGAATCAGACAATCTTAAAATACCAACCAATTAACTGAGTCTGACTTCACAGTGGGAGTGCCTAAATACATGTCTGCCAAACTTCATGATTGCAATATGCATCTATACAAAGTGACTACTTTCCAGTTTTTTAACATTTGGATCTTTTTACCCCTCAGATATATCAAATAGCTGGAAATTATGAATGCCACATGATATTAACAAGCTAAAGTTCTACTATCTGTAGCTTCCCTCCATTTTTTCAGAATACTGAATGTTTGTTAGTCTTTTGTTGGGTTTTTGTCTTTTAAGTGAAGAAAGATAAATGTTTCCTATCCCTTTTCCTTCTGATCGCATCAGTCTCCTAAGAAATCTTTAGCAAGCCACTGTTGTAACACAACAGGCAAGCTTGTTTTGCTTTTGTAAGTTGATTTTTTTTAAAAAAACTCTGAGGATTTCTTTTTCAAATTTTTCTAGAAGCAAAAGTTCATCAGTGGAGTTGGCAATACAAGAATAATCATTTGCCTAAGGAAATGGAAAGTCCAAACTCTATTTGAAATTTTAACATCCTATTTACTTTCCAAGTATCTCAGATCCATACTGTTGGCAGCTCATGGACTCAGCCCACAGACATTGGAAGAAAAATAGAAATTACAAGCACTGAATAAGAAAAAAATTTAAATTAAAACAAGGAAGATTCCCATTAAATGCTCTTGGTTTTCTACTTAGATTTTGTGGTTTTTAGAAATATTGCCTATATTTTTGTTGTGTTCATTTTTTG